TTTTTCCTAAAGTCCTATAGCCTCTCGAAAAAAAGTACGAACGTCATCGTATCGTTCCGCAAGACTCTACTAGACTCATTTTTGTACCATGAGATCAACAAACCCAGGACTCTGATACCAACTTTATCACGACCCAGACCGTCGTGATTGACATCCACACAAAACCCTCCCGGTGGGAGAACCATTACTACAACCTAAACAAATAAATTTTAAGAAAACTAAGGCATTTAAAGATACGGAAGCAGGTTTAAATGACTATAAAAATGGAGTCCCCATAAACTCCAAGGTTTTAACAAACAACTAACCAAACTAATCCTGCTCATTTGTTGAAACATACTCTGGATGTATTAGCCCTTGCTGAACCTTTTCCCTTATGAAATGGCAGTCTATTTCTTTGTGATTTGTCCTCTCATGAAATACAGGATTACTTGTTATTTGCATTGCTGCTTTGCTATTTGTAAGTAGTCAAATTGGTGTAGTTATCTCCACTCCCAAAAACTTAAACAATCCCAATAGCCAAATTAATTCTGATACTGTCGGTGCCATGCTCCTGTATTCTGACTCAGCTGAGCTCCTTGCCACAATGTTTTATTTCTTTGACTTCCAAGAGATTAATGACTGTCCAAATTTCATAATATCGCCAGTCACTGACTTTCTTGAATTTGGACAACTGGCCCAATTAGCATCACAATATGTTGTGAGAGAAGCACTTCCTTCTGCACTCATTAAGATTCCCAGACCTGGTTCATTCTTTATGTATCTTACAACTCTGTGTGCTGCTTCTAGGTGAGACTTGTTAGGATTTTGCATAAACTGACTCAAGGTCTGAACACTATATGCAATGTCTGGTCTGGTTAGTGTTAAGTATAGCAATTTTCCTATCAGTCTCTGATAACCTTTGATATCACTCAACAGTGCATCATCCTGCAAGCCACAATGCTGGTCATACTCCTGACTTGTGAGCTTCTGATTTTGTTCAAGTGGTGTCATTGCAGTTTTGGATCCTGCCAGTCCTAGATCAGCAATTAGTTACGGTGCATACTTCCTCTGGCACAATAGAATCCCCTTCTTGGACCTGCAAACCTCAATTCCTAAGAAGTATTTCAAAGACCCTAGATCTTTGATCCTAAAAGCTTTATGTAACACATCCTTAGCCTCCTGAATTAGTCCCTCATCATCTCCTGTAATCAGTAAGTCATCTACATAGACCAATATAATCACCTGCTTGCCATGCCTTCTTAAGATGAATAATGAATGATCATGTTGACTCTGATTGAAATGTGCTGCTAATAGGGCATTAGTAAGTTTAAGTTTCCATTGTCTGGATGCCTGTTTGAGACCATATAAGGATTTGAGAAGCCTGCAACCCTGATTCTGCCCCACCTGGCTACCAAATCCAGGAGGAAACTGCATATAAACCTCTTCTTCAAGATCACCTTGCAAGAAGGCATTATAGACATCTATTTGGTATAAGTTCCAGTTGTGCATGGAAGCCAAAGCAATAACAGCCCTGACTGTAACCATTTTGACAACAGGGCAAAAAGTTTCCTGGTAATCTAGACCTTCAAGTTGTCTGTAACCCTTGGCAACCAACCTAGCTTTAAACCATTCAATATCTCCATTGGAATGATACATGATCTTGTAGACCCATTTACAGCCAATAGGAACCTTCCCTTTAGGAATATCAATCACCTCCCAAGTCTTGTTTTGAACAAGGGCTGTGATCTCAGTCTGCATGGCAGCAAGCCATCTGGGATCTGTGACAGCCTCAGCATAAGAAGAAGGCTCAACTTCAGAAGAAATAGAAGCCAAGTAAGATTGGCAATGTGGATTAAGAGAGGCATAACTAACATAATTGGAGAGGGGATAAGAGCAAGCTTTGGTTCCTTTGGACGGGCAAACAAAATTTGTCATCCAAATAGGAGGTCTAGAAGGTCTACAAGACTTTCGTGCAGGTGGATGAGGACCATCAATGGTCTCAGCAGGAACTGATGACTCTTGTAAAGGTGAATTGGATGCAGAAATAGGCTTATCAGGGGAATGCACAATCTCAGATGCAACAGGAGGTGGATAACAATCATCAGATGTACCCTCTAATTCTGGGAAAAGTCTGTTGTAATCACTACGCTTCAACTGGAGAAAAGGGAATATATGTTCCCTGAAGGATACATCCCTACTCACAAAGTACCTCTTGGACTTAAAATCATAATATTTGTAAGCCTTTTGTGTAGCAGAATAGCCCATGTGTACTGCAGCAATAGCTCTAGGAGAAAATTTATCTACTTTCTCAGTGACAGTTGCAAAACACAAGCAACCAATAACTCTGAGATGGGAAAGTGAAGGCTCAGTTTTGTGAAAAACTTCATATGGTGATTTTCCAGCTAATACAGTAGATGGTAGTCAGTAGACTGCTGTCAAAACACAATCTCCCCAGAAATGGAGTGGTAGATTCCCTTGAAACTTTAAAGCTCTTGCCACTTCTAAAATGTGTCTATGTCTTCTTTCCACTACTCCATTTTGTTGTGGAGTATGTGGACAACTACTTTGATGCCCAATTCCACTTTGGAGTAGGAAACCTGTACATTCTTTACTAAAAAATTCAGCACCATTATCTGTTCTTATCATCTTAACATGCCTATCAAACTGAACAGTTGTCATTTTAATAAAGGATTTAAGCAAAACAACAGCATCACTTTTCATTTTCATCAGAAAAATCCATATCATCTTAGAATGATCATCTATAATAGTGAGAAAGTATCTATGACCAGCATTAGTAGAAACCTTGTAGGGTCCCCAGATGTCTATATGAAGCAACTGAAAAAGTTTTGTTGATCTAGTAACACTGTGAGGAAATGGCTTCCTAGTTTGTCTAGGAATAGGACATACAATGCAATTATCAAAACTACAGACTGCCACTTTATTTTGTAGGAAAGACAACTTTTGCATAACACCAGCTGGGAAGTGTCCAAGTCTTTTATGCCATGTTTGAACATCATCTATGACCTTTTCTGCAAGGCTGCTGCTGGTTCTACTGCAAATCTTCTCAGAACCTTTTGGCTGTAGGAGATAGAGACCACCCTCTTCCTTACCAATCCCCTTCACTTTCCCAGTATAAAGGTCCTGGAAGACACAAAATAAAGTGTGAAAAGAATATCACTGAGCACGATAATTCTTTTGTTAGTTGTGATACTGATAACAAGTTATACTTGAAACATGCACATATAAGACATTTCCCATGGCATAGCCACCTGCAATATGACATGTTCCTTGGTAATCAACTGGTATTGTCTTACCATTAGGAAGATATACATTACTCCTTATTGTGTCATATGTGTTGGTCACATTATTAGTCAATAAGTGCAAATTACTGGTCATGTGGTCATGTGGTCATGTGGTCTGTGGTTCCAGTATCAATTATCCAAGCATCTGTACAATTCAATTGTTCAATGAGTATTGTCATTTTGTAGATCAATAAGATTGATATACATCGAAATCTCAGATCATGTAGTATAATTGGAATCTCTCTTCACGGTTGGATCAATCTAAACTTGAATGAATTTGACAGGTTATGATTTTATGAGCTATTTTTGTCAACTCTAGATATAACAAAAACTATCTTTCCATAGTGACAAAACATTATATTAGTGTTGATCTCAATAAAAAATCACATGATAACATCTTATTCTCTCCGCTTCAAAATAAATGATGTTTAAAATCAAACCAAGTATTTTGAAAGATTTTTTACGCTAATAAAAAAGAATACTCTAATTCAAAAGAATATTTGTTGCTTCTCTTTGAGTTTATAAGTAATCGACTTACTCAGTTTTATATGATATCATTTTGAATTAAAAAAAAAATGATAGATATGAATATATTTGTACACAAGAAAATGTCCAAATTTACCTTCTATTGATCGAAAACAATTTAAACTTACACCTCATTATAATTTTAGGTCACTAATATTCTTGTTATTAGCATACCAACTCATATTAAAAATGCAAATAACAAAAAATATGAATACACAGGGAAGGTCAAAATAAATCCCAAGCAATAAATCCAAATTGAGGTAAATCTTAGAATTATGTTAGAGTTCAGCTAGTATTGGCATCACTTTAAAAATGGATTATATTGTTCACGATAAATTCAGCCCAAAACAAAATTATTTTGTGTCCAATTCATATATATATATCATCATCATCATCTGCATAGAGTGTATAATAAACTCTCTGATAATCATATAATACTTAGTTTTATCTAGCTCTTATTTTCTTCATGCTTGTTAATTAGTAGAGGTTTGTTATCTCATTAGGATTGGTAAGGTAAGGCCTAGCCCCCCTTGCTTGTACTTATTCACGTTGAGGATTTTATCTTATTATTAATAAAAGGCCGCTAGACACCCTGTACGTCTAGTGGTATAAATTTGTGTTTTTTTTTAAAAATAAAAATAAAATTAATATATATATAATTTATACATTTGTAGACTAATTGGACAAGTGTAATTGGCCATAATTATCCCTAATAATGTCTTTCTTTCAAGACCATAGTTCCCTTACAGTGAAAAATTAAGAACTCTACTTTTGGGTTCCTACTTAAAGATTGAAAACTCGCAAATGAGCTTTTTTGATTTATTAATTTGTATGAAAAATTGATGATTGAGTTTGTTGATGATGTCATTTTGAAGCTATTTCTACACTTGATGTGAGTATTAGTTTTGTTTTTGAATTATTGATAGCCTTAAAAACGTTTTTTAATTTGACTAATTGAACTTAAATACACCTCTCTCATATCATACACATAAATGTGTTATTCACGCGTGTACACATGGTTTTCTACTGATGTGACATATACATAGATATATTGTATGAAATGAGAGGGTGTTTTAAAAGTAGAGAGATATGTTAAGGTTTGTTAATGATTGAGGTTTCTTAATAATTTGTGGACGAAACTAATAATTTCGCGAAGTTCAAGAATGAAACTAACAACCTCATCTTTATTTTATTTTACAATATTATTTATTACTTTTCATTTTCTTATTGTCGAGGGATACTAAAATCCATCTCCATTAGATTATTTCCTTATAACCTATGTACGTTCGTTAGATTCTTTCCTTATAATTTATCCGATCTAAAATAATATATCAACCCCATGAATCATTTTTTTTTCAAAAAAAAACAAAGGCCTCAAAAACATGTTTAGTGAGTATAACTTACAGTTAAATTGTTTACTTCGGTGTAAGTACACAAAGACCAACTATTGGTTCAATAACACTCTTTAGTCTCAAGGGGTCGAGAATTAATTCAATTTTTGTTTACATTCTTTAATTAAATACGAAATTTCTTCTTAAACATGCCCCAACTACTTTTATTATTCATTATAAATATTTATTATATGAATTATGATAACCTGATTATTTTTTTAAAAAAAATTGATTCATATTGTTAGTATATTATTTCGGATGAAAAAATTATAGGAAAAAATCTTATGGGATGTAGTTTTTATTTCACCAAATAAGAAAGTAATAAATAAAAAATAATATTTTATAAATAAAATAATAACAAGGTTGTTAGTTTCAAGGGTATAAGTGAGTTAAAAAGTGAGTGGAGAAGTATTTTTAGCAAAATAGGTGGATGAAAAGTTTTTTTACACCTTTTTCTAAAATTCATGGTAATTAGTTTTACGGATATCAATAGTTCGAGGACGAAACTAATAATTCTCGCAAGTTTAGTGGTATTTTCAACTCTTCTCTCAGCTTTTTATCAAGAGTCACACCCTCCTACAAGAGTTTGAGACCACTTATTACGCCATGTGATAGATCATGAGTGTATTTAAGTTTAGTCAGTCAAAAAGATTAATGTTTTTAAGACTGTTATTAATTTAACCATGCGTTCTCTAAAAATAAATAAATTATTTGATGATGTTTTTGAACGTATTTTTGTGGGTTGACTTTCTGAGCGCACTTTGCTTTCTTAATATCTGTCCAACGTTTCCTT